AAAGGTCAGAGGTTCGAACCCACTACCAGTTCCATGGGAGAAAGAAGTCTTTCTGCTCCTGTAAAGATTTATAGCGTAGGAAAACCCTAAGCAGCAGCTCTTCTCGGCCCTGCAGGGTCACTATGAATCAGAATGGACTCAATGGAGGTGAGTTTGGTTGTACTTGACCAAGCGTGATGTCCTACTCCAGGACTGACCCCTCCTGATAACATATTCTAAGTACTTGAGATTAAATCTTGCTGTCTTTGCTGCTAAGGCACATTCTGGTCTGGGAAGATGGTACCCATGTAGAACCACCTGCTCTGTGTTCCCGTTGTCAGAAAATCAAGAGTGTATGCTATATAAATTATGTGCCAATAAAACGGTTTAAACATAATAATTAAACACAAGGAACATTCTGGCTGTACTTCTTCCAGGACAGATGGTTCTACTGCTGGGACCCCATGGTACATTTAAAAGCCTTTGCGCCAAGACCATCATGCAAATACATCCCTTCTTCTTCTGTCTTTCTTACCGATTGATTGGCCAGCTTTCACATCCACACCAGACAACTGTGAATCCCACGAGGTGGGGCAGACACACTGTGGTCCTCACAATGACAGCTTCGCTTTTTAACACGTTAAAGGAACTCAGATTCTGCTTTTCCTTCATTGCCTTTATCATGGGTCTTCATCTATCTGTTGTGCTCACTCATTCAACTCCCTCTATTCCATTAGCCGGGGTCGACAGACAGACTGCAGCTCAAGGGCCAGCTGTGGCTCTTTCAGGACATACACGTGGCTCTGAAGTCCAATTGAAAATGAAAATACACATGGGGGACCGAGGGGGAAAAACAAGGAGCTGATCCCAAGGGCTCAAGTTGAAAGAAAATGTTTTGAGAATGATGATGGCAACAAACGTACAAACGTGTTTTGACACAATGGATATATGTATGGATTGTGATGAGTTGTATAAGCCCCACAATAAAGTGATTTAAAAAAGAAAAGAAAAAGAAAATGAAAAGACATCCCCCACTCTCAGAGGGACGAACAACAGAAATGTGGGCGAAGGGAGACAGCAAATAGTGTAAGATATGAAAATAATAATTTATAGTTTATCAGGAGTAGCGAATGGTGTAAGATATGAAAATAATAATTTATAGTTTATCAGGAGTAGCAAATGGTGTAAGATATGAAAATAATAATTTATAGTTTATCAGGAGTAGCGAATGGTGTAAGATATGAAAATAATAATTTATAGTTTATCAGGAGTCCATGAGGGTGGGAGGGTGGGAGAGGAAAGGAAAAAAAGAGGAGCTGG